AAAAGCCACCAGCAGGAGGCAGGTGGCACGTCCCTGGGAGGCACTTCACCCTGCAGTACCTACCAGTGGGGAGTGGAGCAGCCTGGTGGCCACCTCCTTGTGAGCAGCCACCACACACAGATAGCACAGGAGGTTCAGCTTGGCCCGTGACACCCCTGTGCTCTTCTCGCTGGAGTCGATCTGGGAGCACACTTGCTGCAGGAAATCATTCCAGTCTTGGTCCTTCAGAACCAGCAACTTATCCACTGCGGAAGGAAGGAGCAGAGGGAGCGTGCGTGACGTAGTAAGGGCTGAGCAGACATTGTGTGAGAAGCAGAAGAACACGGAACTTCAGAGCTGGGACAGGGATCAAACACATGACAGTGTCAACCGAAAAGACACCAACCCCATCCCCACTGAGGAGACATTCCACTGGACTGTCTTTGTCTACCCAGAGAGACTTAACTAAGTCAGTGAACTGCCAAAACAATAACAGTGATAATAATAATAGTAATAGTAGTAACATCTTTAGCTGTCAGAGAGCTAGGGAGACGGCCGGCCTTGCAAGCATGAAGACGTGAGCATGATGCCGGAGTCCACCTAAAAAGGCCACGCACGTGACCCTGGCACTCAGGAGGTGGAGACAGGAGGCTCCCTGGGGCTCCCTGGCCAGCCAGTCTGGCCTAATTGGAGGTCTCCAGACCAATGAGGGACCCTGTCCCAAAAGAGGAGGACAGCATGTCTAAGGACACTGCTGGAGGCCATCCTCAGGCACATGCGTTCATGCTTGCACATGTGCAACCACACACACACACACACACACACACACACACACACACGTATGTCCACACACATCTACACACCTTTTTAGAAGTCTAATAAAATTACTGTTAAACATACCCAGGTCAGTAGGGCTGGCAAAACCTGGGACTCCAGCCTCCAGCTTCGCACACAAACCCAAGACCAACCAGGAATGGCATCTAAATGCACCGATTCTGTCTGGTCTCCATCTATAGACAGATTCATTTATAAACTTTACAAATGTGGGCCTGAGAGGTGGCTCAGCGGTTAAGAGCACTGGCTGCTCTTCCAGAGGTCCTGAGTTCAGTTCCCAGCACCCACGTGGTGGCTCACAACCATCTGTAATGAGATCTGGTGCCCTCTTCTGACAAGCGGGCAGAACACTGTGTACATAATAATCTTTTTCAAAAACATTAGAAATGTTCTCTGACTCTCCGGGAAGGACTGAGTGATACCCTGGGTTTTCATGCAAAGGTCCTTGGCTCTGGCCACACTTGGTGCGGCTTCACTCTGGTCCCTCAGAACATCCCTCCTTGGGGCTCACTCTTGGTTTGCATCCAAGAGCTTGACCTGCCAGACTTTTAAGTTGGTTTCTTTAAGTCTGCATCTATTCTGTTCATTGTGAATTTGGTCCCAGTCACAGAGTGCCCAAGTCAGGGTGGAGAATTGGTCCACTAAAAAGATAAACCCAAAGTACACCTAAATTTCTGAGGTTCCCTCCAGGTAAGAAGACGTTCATAGGCTGAACAGAAACAAACCAAAGCTCTTAATGGTCTCTACTCAGACACCATCCCCACTGGCTGTGGTGAGCCACGCCCCCACAGAGGTGAGCCACGCCCCCACAGGGGTGAGCCACCCAGTCCTGCTCCCTACTGTCCTGATCCCTTAGACACAGCCCCCAACTTCTGACTGTTGGCACTCACACAGCACCATGCAAGACAGACATTTCGCTGGTGTTACCAGGGAAGGGCAGAGGACCCTCCCCCAGCACCCCAGGAGCTTTCCCATCCACAAGAGGGCGTTGGCCCAGAGGAAAGTCAACAGCTGATAAAGACACATTTGCAGGTGACTTCCACTGTACAGGGTGCAGCCCGAAAGCATTGACAAGAAGATAGGCAATTAGTTATTCTTTACACAAATATTGTTTGCAAGCAAATAAAGTTCATATTTACATCTGTTCACAAAGGTTTGATGAGCCGCATGACCTTACCAGAATATGCCGGTAGGTGCAAGATTTTTGGATCAAACTTGATTGCAGGCTGTTTCATTATCTACGGTAGGAAAAACACGGTTGAGAAACCTTTTCAACTCAACAGTTGTCCCTGCACCACAGACCAACAAGGCCAAACATGAGCAATGAATCTTAACTGTCATCAAAGGGATCCAAGCCAGGTGTGGGACACCCTCAGTGGCCCCAGCCCCAGGAGGAACAGGCAGGAGAGCTGAGAGTGAGCTGCAGAGCGAGACCCTATCTCAGAGCACCAGCCAGAAAAAGAATTCAACAGTGCCAGTGGAGATTAGAAGACATAAAGATAGACTGCTTCTTTCCATTTCAACCAATATCTTAAGTAAGACAAAGCTCTGCCCGACAACTGGCTAATCTGCCTCTCATTAGAAATCAAGGCATCTGAAAAGTATCCACTGGGTGCTGCCCTGAGGAGTGCAGTCATTGACATGTGACCCTGCAGTCAGAGATCTGAGACTCTGAGTGGGAAACAAGGCAAACAGCTGCTGAACAATAAAATTCTTAATTCAACAATTCAAACCAAGCAGGACAAAATTACAGACAGATACTTCACAGACAAACACTTCTAAAAAACCACAAAGAAGCAGGTAGTTAGGCTGATGTGACGTGGACACGGTCAGTGGGAGGGTGGAAGGTGGGCTGAGGTCTTGATGTGGCGGGGACAGGGTCAGTGGAAGAAAATCAGACTGCGGTATAAAAGGACAGTCAGGACTTGGCGGTATTTGAGAAGGGAAGAGCCATTCCAGAAGATAGTAACACGGAAATAGTTTATCACACACTTCATTTGAGAAACGGAAGTTCAGATCAGCGGCCCTACACCTTGAGAGCTGAACACGCCTTCTGCAGAACTCTGCTGCCTTAACACTCACGACCGACAGCGTTCTTGACAAAAATGATGAAATGACAGTCTTTCCGCAATCCGATGCTGTAATTCATGTTATTCCAATTACGAGAAAAGCTCAGAGAAATTTTAACTAAAAACACTCCACAAAATACCTGCCCATCACTCAGCAGAGAGTGTCCCGGCTGTGACAGACAGGGACAGACTACAGGAGATGGAGGAGGCTCAAGGGTGACAAAGGACACCAGAGCTACAGAGTGTGGAATCAGTGGGAACACTGAGGCCACTAACTCGGGCCTGCTAACCCAAGGGCCTCAGGAGACTCAGGCTGGGCAGAGTAACAGCAAGCAAGGCCTCCCTCCTCGAACCCTGAACCTTCTCCCTGAGTCTAAAACTAACTTTTAAAAGAGCTTTAAAATGTTTAAATAAAAATAGTTTAAGGCCAGGCGGTGGTGGTGCATGCCTTTAATTCCAGCACTTGGGAGGCAGAGGCAGGCGGATCTCTGAGTTTGAGGTCACCAGGGCTACACAGAGAAACCCTGGGGGGGGGAGGTGCTAAAAAACAAACATTTCTCAGCAACCTTGAGTAAGGAAATAAAGGAAGAGACTCACAGCCCATGGAATCCCAGGCTGCTCTGAAAAGCCCACTGGAGAACACTCCACTACACATCAGACTCTGACTCATGGGAGACTCCATTCTGAGAGATGGTTATGTAAGGCAAAGGCTGTCTATCTAGGAAATCAACATGCTCCACAAGAGCAATTTGGAAATTCCACAAATTAATCTGGAAAGAAATTTTCAAGAAATGAAGCAGGAAGGACAAAACAGAGCGGGAGGCAGAAGCTGAGCGTATGGGGCTAGAAATCAAAGTGACGGACAGAGACGATGCTTTACAGTGAGCATCGTCACCCTCAGCAACCACTGTCGTTACAGAGCAGAGAGCACACCAGGAGTTGAGACCCCAGGGCCACACTGTCTCCCCCATCAGTCTGGACACCATGTAAGAGACCGGGTCTGTGTGACCCGCCCGCTCTTCCCCAGCCAGTGAGCCCTGCTCAGCCACACCCGAGTGACCTGAGCATCTAGTGGGACTGAGAGCTGAGGGCTGGGGTCTGGAGGTCGGTGGCCCTCCTCGTCATGTGACAAGTGTGATCAAGCAGGATGAAAAATCCCCACTGCAGAGGTGTGTGAGCTGAGGGAGGGCGGAGAGCGGCAGAGGTGTGTGAGCAGAGGAAGAGCGGCAGAGGTGTGTGAGCAGAGGGAGAGCGGCAGAGGTGTGTGAGCAGAGGGAGAGCGGAGAGTGGATACGGGGCACATAGGACAAGCAGGCAAGTGACAGCTGAGGGCTGCGACTGTGGCCATGAGACACACAGGAGAGGAAAGAGTCAGTGAGGCAAGAATGTTCTGACATCCCCTCCCCCGCCCTCCCCAGAATCCTCGAGTCTCTCTGCACCTTGGGGTTGTCGATAATTGGGGTAATCACAAGATCCGAGTCCGTGTAGATCAGCTCTCTCATCTGTGACTCCAGGGCCCCCTGGCTCAGATGCCCACATGTCATCTGGAACAAGGACAAAAGTCACACTTGGATTTATAATGCAGAGTGACAGGCCAGCTGCTGAGGAGGGCGGGCTGTGTCGATGAACTTCAAGTGCCATGGAGACACCATCAGCCTGGCTGATCACCACACAAATCCTGAACTGTGCGTGTTGTTCCCATTTCATACATGAGAACGTCTCAGAAGGCCACTGGCCAGTCACACCAACAGCCCTCACCACTGGGCTGGCCAGTCACACCAACAGCCCTCACCATTGACTGGCCAGTCACACCAACAGCCCTCACCATTGGGCTGGCCAGTCACACCAACAGCTCTCACCATTGGGCTGGCCAGTCACACCAACAGCCCTCACCACTGACTGGCCAGTCACACCAACAGCCCTCACCACTGACTGGCCAGTCACACCAACAGCCCTCACCACTGGGCTGGTCAGGGCTTCACTGCCAACCTCCCACACTGTGAGGTAAAGGCAACTTCACACTGGGTGGGTGGGGTTTGGCTTCGTTTTGTTCCTTATGATGGGTCCTGCTCCGTCCTTCATCCACAAAACACATAACTACTTCTGTCTTACTGAATATTGAAGAAATTAGATTCTAGTATTTTAAAAGGTCTGGCTGAAGTGCTTGCTACTTCTCTCCTAAAGAATTAAACACTAATATGTATATATTCTGCATTGTCTGTGGGGACATGCACAGGCACACAAATGCACATGCACACACCACAAGCACACACCCACACATGCATGCACACACACAAACAATAATAAAACAATTAATGACTATATGCTCTATAATTCCATTTACATGAAATGTCCAGGACAGGCAGACTTAGAAGACCCATGGAGCAGGGGTGAGGAGAAGTGGAGGAGACTGAGGCTGACAGCCAACAGTTACAGGGCTTCTTTGTAGGATAATGAAAAAAGTTCTCAAATTGATTGTGATGATGTCACACAACCTATAAATCCAGTAAAAGCCCATCAAATGTCCACTTTAAATGGTGAACTGCATTTCATGTCAATTGTACCTCAATATATTCACTGCTGAAAAAAACCTCGAAGCAGCTACCAAGGACTTGGCCATAGTCAATGTCACCATCACGGCAGGGTTCACAGATTAACTTATAATTATTTTTATGAGCTTCTGTAATGTATCATAAATCCCATGGCTGCTCACCTTGGATAAAGGAGAGGTCTGTGGCGAGCTGGTGTCCTCACCCTCTCCGGGACTTAATCCCACCATGGCACTAGTCCTTGGAGTGGGTCGTGAACTGGAAAACAGGACAGCTTTCCATCAACGGTTACAGAAGCGATGCCCTCACCCCCTCTCCCAGCAGGAAAAAACGGCATGAGGCCTCCACACCTCTTGCACAGGCACACAGCAAAAAAAAAAGCTTGAAGCCTAATTTGTGTTTAATGACTCCATCATTTTTGTAGCTGCTTCTTTTGGAAAGTGTTATTGGGGTGGGGGGGGGTACACATGCCTCACTCTCGTGGAGGTCGGAGGGCAGTTCTGCACAGTTGGTTTTCCCCCAACTCTGGTCTCCTCCCCAGCTCAGGTCTCCAGCTGTGTGGCCAACACCTTCACCTGCTGAGCATCTCCTCAGCCCGGTAACTGCTCTGCGGATCATGTTCTGCGTAACCAGCTCTTATTTCTAGATTGCATGCTACATACAGTCTTCTCTTTTTGTAATATTTGCTACATGTTTAATGTTTCACCAGCATCTGCTAATCACACTTACTAGTGACTTTTACAATGACACTTGTGTGCCTTTCACACACATCTGTTACCCCTGGCTGGCCTCCCACCCTCCCCTTTATCAGAGTCCACTTACAAACCTAAAATATGCTAGAGGTTGTACAGTTCTAAGCATCAATTTAAAGTGCCTAAAATAGATATAAATCAATTTAACATACTTTACACTCAAATACACACAAAACAGATGAATAAATTTTAATGTATTATTATAGTTTCAAATGAAATAAAACTCCTCCTATATAAAGGATTTTGTGTGCTCCAAGCAAGTGCTCTACCAGCAAGACAGAGACCTGCACATCCAGAAAAATCTTAAATCTACTGAATGTTAGTGTTTTCCATATATCGGCCCCTAACCACTTAAAGATAAACTGGGCTGTTGTTGTTGTTTAAGTCTTTCAATGGTTATAAATATTGCTTGTGCCTCACATAAAATATACTTGAAGAAAAACACAACACACAGGCTGCGGCATCGCTCACTAGGAGTGCTCTTGCTCAGCATGTGTGATACCCGGCATGGATGGAAGGAAGGCAGTGGGAAGAGAGGAAGGAAGGAGGGAGGGGACTCAAACAAAAGGAGGAGAATTCAGCCCGTCCTTTCTATAAAACCTTGTCCAAACAAGGGGGCTGGACTTCTGAAATTTTAAATTCATTTTTATCAGAACATAAAGTTCTGAGAGAAAAGATTTTAATATTTACAAATACAAAAAGAATAAGCAGCTTTTTTTAATTGATATGTATATGTGTGTCTATGCACATGAGTACAGTGCCCAAGGATGCCAGAAGAGGGCGTCTCATCCCATGGAGCTGGAGTTACAGATGGTTGTGAGCTGCCCAATGTGAGCCCTGGGAACTGAACTTGGATCCTCTAGAAGAGCAGCAAGCACTCTTAACCACTAATCCATTTCTCCAGACCCAAAATAGACAATTTTAAAAATATATACAAAACTTGGATACCCCGGGCAGCAGTTCACTGTGGAATGAAGGTGGCAGGTGGTACCAACACCATCCTCTATCTCTAACATCTGCCCCCAGGATGGCGGCACCCGTCCTCGCTCTTCTCACAGCTGGGTTTTACATACCTGAGGAGAAATATGGATTCATTCAGCTGGCCCCCTGTGGCACTCTTGGGCCTCAGCTCAGTCGGATTGTCTGTGGTAGAGGAGTAACATGTTACCCAGAAGGGACAGGAATCACCAAGAGCAGAACCCAACACACAGAGACTGGAACCAAGCTTACCTAGCCTGAAAGACAGGCTGAGGCGAGGAGCCGCCTTCTGCCCTTTCCCTGGTCCATTCTGAGGGCTTTGCAAAAGCTCCCTGGAATCCTGAGGTCCAGAACATTCCATGACATTTCTGCTGCTGGACAGGAAAAGTCAGCACAAGCTCACTTCGGACTCCCTTTGGTTTTGCAAACAGCACAGAAGGTGTCCGAGCATGACCGTGCGGTGTCTTAGCCTACGAAGTCACGGAACTGGGCAAGCGCAGTTTCCCAGTGGGCAGCTACAGTCAGCCCTTTCTAGATGTGAGGCATCTAGACCTACGGGTCTAAAAGCCCTTTCTCTGACAAACAGTCAGTAGCAGACAGACAGACAGACACCAGAGCCTGGCGTACCTCAAAAACCAGCATTAGGTTTTCCTCCCTGTCACTTGGCCTGGGGTCAAAGTCGACAAGCCATGGAAACTAGCTGTAAGAGAAGCTGGTCTGTTGATGCCCAAAGAACAGAAGTGAGGGGTCGCTGAGGCGGAAGAGGGCAGAGAAATCCCGTTTGCTCTAGTTTCTTTTATCCCTGTTCATCTGCTGCTAGGAAACCCTGAAACTGCCCCCTGGGGACAGCAGTAGCTGCTGGCCACTGCCTGATGCTCTGAGAGGAATCCTCTCTCTGGCAGAGAGCTGGGATTCCAGGAACATGAGCCACATCCCCCACCCCACCCCATCCCCCACCCCTGCCCTTCCACCATCCCAAAGGCATCCAGCAAGACATACTTCCCAAGGGGTCAGAATATCAGGTTAGCTCCATGTTTAGAGGCCAACCACCCTAACCTCTCACGGTAACTGCAGGACTGGGGAGTGAGAGCATCTCGTCCCACCTGGCGTTCGCTCAGACTGAAAGACGCTGCTCCAAAGCCCCCAGCCCACATCATCAAACCAAACAAGCAAAGACAGTGCTTTCTGCCCAAAACCCAAGGAAGGAGGCTGGCTTCCGTCACTGCCAACACAAGTGTGCCACTCCAAGTCCTCACAAGAACAGTGCATCAGAAAAACAAACAAGACACAGACTGAAAAGGAAGAATCGCATCATGTAGCAGCAAACAGAAACACTTTGATTTCTAATTTAGACTATAGGGAATTATCATCAATAGAGGGGTCTTTTCCAGCTTTCTAAATGTCTGCGTGTGTGTTGTCCAGCATTTATACCCCATGGCTGTGGTGGATCAGCACAACGGGGTGTTCTCTCCCTTCCTGCCCCATAAATCCTCCCTTTTCCCCTTTTTCTCTCCTCCCCCCACCACACACACACACACACACACACACACACACACACACACACACACACACACGCCCCTTGCACACTGTGGAGATGAAGAACTAAAGGTCAGAGGTATCCTGACTTGCTTCTGACACAACAGTCAGGGCCCGGAGCCCAATCTGCTGACACCTCCTCAGCTTCTCCAGTGACGCTGGCCCGGAAGGTGGAACTCTGGCCCAGCTCTGAAGCTCCACAGAGCAGAGGACGATGGCGAGAATGTGGCGGCTGCACGACACCGGTGAGCAGTGGGGGAGTCGGCCGACACCAGCCCTGTGCCTACCGTCTGACACCGAGATTTCATAACAACAGTGCGATGCCTGGGCAGGGCACACCTGATGACTGTGGTCACACATGACCACCGCATCCTTAGTGCTTTGAACTAACCTTGGGTCACTTGGGTACGCAGCCACAGAAGGCTGGCAGGAAAGCCCTCTACACTCAGGCTGACAACTCCATTTTGATATTTCCAGAAAATGAACAAAACGGAGAACTGATACATCATGACTAAACCTGTCCTGAAGAGGCCTAATGAAGCAGATGTTAGGTGCCATGACCAGACGGCAGAGCGGCACCAGGCACGGCTCTACCTGAAGATGCAGTCCTCGGAGGCCGAGGCCGAGGCCGAGACCGAGTCTTCTCTCCGCAGGGCGTCCTTCCAGAAGGGGTGCTGCAGGACTCCCTCCCACGATAACCTTTGGGAAACACAAGGCACTGCTCATGAAGGGACTCCAGGCCTGACCCATCATCAGACCCCACCATTCTCCAACACCACCTCTCAGGTGCTTTATGTCGCTCTTTCGGTGTGAAATTAACATTCCTCAGCAAAAGGAAGAAGTCAGAAACCTTAACGGCTATAGAACAAAACTGGAGTCTCAAGTTCACAACCTCCCAATCCACTAAGCCTAATAAAAACGTTCTTAGGTTTCCCAACTAATGTAGGAAGGGACGCTATCGTCAATTTGAAAATTTAAGATAAATCACTAATTATCAAATCACAGTTCTGTCCCCCTTTATCTTACTAAGTGAGCAAGATGGTTTTAGTTGGCCGTGTGGCTGGAGTGTGAGCTGTCCCCCCGAGATCTGTGTATGCACACTCATTCCCTGCTGGTGGTGGTTCAGGGAGGCCGTGGAGCCTTCAGGAGGAGGGGCCTAGCTGGGAGGAAGTGGGTCGTGGGGGTTGATGGACAGGCCTGGACATTTCCTAACCTGGTCCCACTCCTTGTCTGCTCTGTTTCCTGACTGGAGACACAGTGTGACCACCTGCCGCATGCTCTGGCTGCTGCCCCGCCCCACCATGAAAACCTCGAACCCTGCCTCAACTGTGAGCCTGAGTCAGCCCTTCTCCTTCACTTGATCTGCAGGCTTGTCACTGCGGCAAGAAGCATCCCTATGGAGCTGAGCCCCTACTGTCCAAGTGTGCAAGTGTGCACACTGCACCGAAGGGAGCTGAGCCCCTTACTGTCCAAGTGTGCAAGTGTGCACACTGCACCAATGGGAACTGAGCCCCTTACTGTCCAAGTGTGTGAGTGTGCACACCGCACCGAAGGGAGCTGAGCCCCTTTCTGTCCAAGTGTGCAAGTGTGCACACCGCACCGAAGGCAGCAGAGCTCAATGGAAGGACAGACACTCCCTCCAACATCCCAAGATTACAGGGAGAAACAAGAGGATTCTGAGGAAGAGGAAGAGGAGGTGGAGGGGAAGAACGGAGGAGGCGCAGGTGGTGTTGTTCTGTGATCACAGTGCAGGAGGCTGGGGAGGGACCAATCTGAGCCATACATGGAAACCCTCATCTCAAAAAACAGAGGGGGGGGGGAGCTTTCTATCCATGTAAAGGAAAGCAGGTCTCCACTCCTCACCCACACAACGCTGTCCATACCTTTTCTGAGGATCCTTCTGTAGTAATCCATCCAGTAAATTAATGAAATCTGAGGATGCTTTGGGGAATGAAGAATCTGCAAACAAAAGATTTTTTCCAAAATGAAGACGGTGGTGAGAGGAACCTACAAACATGGACTTTGCTACTGTCCATCAGCAACATCTAAAGCAACAGCATCTAAGCCTTCAGACTTTAACACAGACTGAACCCATGAACTACAGTACAGCGTGTGAGTCACAGAGGACCAGTGTGCAGAGCAGAGACACAAACCTCTAACCCAGATCTCACATGTGCATCTCCACGACTCGGTTTTAACTGCCCCAGAACATTCCCGTCCCTGAAATAACAGCACTGAGAGTTGCCAGCCAGAACCTCACACCGGGTCTTCGGTGGTTAGCTGGACCTTACTCTCTGAAACATTCCTAATTTTGCCAACTTTGCTCTGTAATTCACTGTAACTCTGATCCTGGCAACCCCTCCTTTCTTTGGAAAAATGTCAACAAAGAACTAACAGTAATGAGCACTGGGACATGACGGAACTGTCCCCACTCTGTGGGTCTCAGAGATCGGTATGCACTGTGACCACCTCCAATCGTGGTTGTAAGAAGTGGCCAGGACAATCTGACCTAAGAAACAGCTGGGTACCCTTTCATGGAGCATCAGTACACACAGAATGCCGGCTACCTGTGGCTACAGTCTGAGGACAAGCTCTGTGCAATGAGCCACAGCTGACGGAAGCATTTGGACTCACCAACAGGAAAACTGAGAAATGTTCTACTTCTTCCTACTGAGAAGCAACCCTGAAATAATCATACAGGGCAGGAATACACACACACACACACACACACACACACACACACACCCTTGAAATCTTTCAACAGACTTCTTGTGCTAATTCGTGTTTTTAAATGAGGGAAGCTGTTAGTATGACTTGGTTTTCACTTTCAGTATCGAAAACAGGGAAGAAAATGTACTGATTTGAAGCTTTGAGGGCTGTGATTGGTGAAAACAGCCTGGGTGAAGGTGGGCTTCCAGTCAGGTAAGATGATTGGCTGTGCTCACCTACCCTTTGGGACCGGCGGCAATGGGTCTTCATACAGAATCTTCTCAATTAACTCTGACACGGTTTCTGAGAAGAATGGAGGCTTGCCTGAAATCACATGAACTTGCAGATCAGTTTGCCATCCACACTAATCCCAAACTTAACTACAGGTATTCCAGGGGAATGTACACTATCGTAAATACAGGATTTACATGATTTGTGGGAAAAGGCAATACCTGACAAGCACATCAGGCTATGAACTTCCATCCTTCTCAAATGCAAAAGTAGTTTTCCAAGTCAATACTCAAGTTCACACAGGGTAAGCACCATGAGCAAGGGGCTCATCAGCCCTCAACACATTGGAGTCATTGGCTCACAAGCCACAGTCTGACTTTCTACTAATATTCTCCAATGGTCAGGCACACTTCAACACTGCAGATAATTATGAAGAATCACTACCAGTCAGAGTGCTCACAAGCCTTCCCAAGTCTAACATTAAGTTGAAACGGTTTATACAAAAAATTGTCTAAAACCAGTTTTGAGATACCTGCTAGGTCAGGCACTTGAAAACCACACACAAAACTCAGTTTGCTCTTGGTTTTAGTATAGTTTTGATTTTATAATGAACCAAACACCATCACCTGAGAACATTTCATAAAGCAGACAGCCCAAGGACCAGAGGTCACTGGCGACAGAAAAGTCTGTTCCCTTCATGATTTCTGGTGCCGCATATATTGGGGAGCCTGAAAACCAAAGACAAGAACAGCTCAGTTAGGCATCTGAGTTATCTCCAGCACAAAGAGTCACAGAGATGGAAAGACACAGGGAAATGTAGCACCTACCATAAGGATAGAATTTCTGGGAGCCAGTGAGATGGCTCAGTGGCCAGAGGTACTTGACACCAAGACTGATGACCTGAGTTCAATCCCCCGGACCCGCACAACAGAAGAGAACTGACTCCTTCAAGCTGCCCTCCGACCTCCACTCACGGTGGCACAGACATGCCCACATATCCACTCCTGTGTGTGTGTGTGTGTGTGTGTGTGTGTGTGTGTGTGTGCATCTGCATCAAATGTACACAGAAGCTAGATGTTGACTTGACATTTGGTGACCTCAGTCACTCTCCTCGTTTTTTGGGACAGGGTCCCTCACAGAACCTGGAAGTTACTGGTTTGAATCTCCTGGCTCTGCTCCCCTGGACTGGGATTACAGATGTGGGCAGCCACACCTGCTCTTCTTACATGGGTCTTGGGGACCAGACTCAGGTCCTCCTGATCATTCACAAGCACTTCACTCCTTGAGTGCCCCAGCCACAGGCACAGGGACCCTGATGCCGCCGGCTCCATCTCCCTGTCACATCCCTCTGCCAAGAACACGCCTGGAGGATCTGCCTGGACTGCAAAGATCAGACCCTCGACAGGGCTGTAGGAGCCACTGGTGTGCTGAGCACATTCTGAGAGCTGACTGAGTCGGCCCTGCTCTGGGGGGTGGTGACAAGACACTGTGTAAGACCTCTCCTGCTGACACACCGTTAGAGACCAGGGACACTTAAAGCCAAAGACGAAGCTGCTCTTCGTCCAGAATCCCGTCTTGTTTCTCATGCAGTGTGAGTAGCGAAGCACGTGGCTTGGGTTATGGCGCGAGCTGCCCGGCCCACCCACCTCTGACGCGGTTTTTCATGCTCTTCTTCAGCGTGTTTTCTCCATTGTCACCACCTCCTTCTTCTGCGGCCACCAAAGCAAAGAACTCCTCCAGACTCTCTCCTTCCACCCTCGCCAGGCAGAAATTGCTGAACTTCAGTGTGCCAGGCCCTTCCAAGAGTATCTAGGAAGGTGGGAAATCGTCAGTGTCTTCATAGACAGGTTTGGAGGGACCTCTCCTAACTGCCCAGGGCGCTGCAGCCTTCTTGCCGTGTGATGGCTCAGAAAAATGCTGACACACTACGCTCTTAAAAAGAAGACAGTGAACTACAGAAATGATCCCGAGAGTTGTGGTTTAAATAAAACTGGGAGCTGCTCCCTCAAAATCAGCCAACGTGACATCTTAGCAACAGCAGAGTCAAAGCTGACACTATCCTCTCTCGAATATCCATCTCAGACACCGTGGAGCCACCAAGGAGCCCTGGGCTGAGAGAGAGATACCAACAGACAGGCTGCATTATGAGATAAAGAATAAAGGTAAAGATGGCCGGCACTCTGTATCCTCAAACCCACCAAGTCAGACTACTGTGCATCAAGAAAATTGGGGGAGATTTTCTGATGCGTACGAGTTATGAAAGGCAAACACAGCATTTGATGTATAGGCTGGAGCATTGTGGGATGTGGGTGTTTGTCAGGGCTCAAGGCCAACCCCAAGAACACACAGAATGAGTGAGAGTCTAAAGATCCACCTGCCTGTGTGGGTCAAGAAAGGACCTGTAGTGAGGGGTTTTAAACTGAGGGACCACAACTAGTGCAGGCCTGTAGACTTGGCCCGGGTGACGACCTACCCACTGCCTGACCCTAGGGGTATGGCAGCCCCTGGAATCCTGCTTCTCACGCTACAACAGGGAAGGAAGGGCCCTGCTTTTTCGGCTCTGTGGGGACTCATGGGAGCCTCACAGATAAAGGGCTGGGACTGATTCAAGTTGGCCAACGTCCTGTGTGATCAGAAGTTGGCTGTGGACTGTCAGCCAGCCCAGGAAGCAGCATCATTTCCAGCCTATCACTGAAAATGCCGTTGGACAACAGTGTTGGGCCTGGCGACCTCCTGGTGGGAGCCATTAAAGTTGGCCTTAACTCCTAGACACCATCGCTCACTAAAGGTGCGGCCAACCCACCACAGTGGCCTCTGACTCCACCATCAGCGTCCCCTGGAAACCTGTTCAAACCCAGACTGCCATCCAGCAGGTCCTAACCCCACAGCTCCAGAGTTGTTCAAAACAGCAGCCACTGGTAACACGTGGGCCAAGGGTGGGGCAGTGTCTCAATAAAACTTTATCAGCACAAAGAGAACCCCGCCCAACTCTCTCCAAACCCTGGGTTTCTAGAGCAGTGCACATTACAGACCCTCCTGCTAAGTTTTGCACTAACTCCATTAAATGTCCCACAGAGAGCTAAGCAAACTGTGGCCGTGGGCCCAAAGCCCACATCCCCACGTGTTTTCACACAGCTGTGAACAAAGAGCTTTTTAAATGTTTTTTAAAAATAAGTAAAAATTGTATGTTTTTTTGGTGGTGAGAGGTTGCTTCAGGTTTTGTTTTGTTGTCGGTTTGTTTGGGGTTTTTTTTGAGACAGGGTCTCAGTCTACTGCCCAGACCGTTCTGAAACTCACCATGTGTATCATACTAGCCTTGAACTTACAGCTATCCCGCTGCCTCAGCCCTCAAGTGCTAGGACTACAGGTGTGAGCCATCATGCCCAGCTCTGAATGGTATTTCTTTTTGTTGTTGTTTTCTCGTTTTGTTTTGTTTTATTTTATTTTTCAAGACAGGGTTTCTCTGTGTAGCCTTGGCTGTCCTAGAACTCATTCTGTAGACCAGGCTGGCCTTGAACTCACAGAGATCCACCTGCCTCTGCTTCCTGGGTGCTGGGATTAAAGGTGTGCCCCGCTACTGCCCGGCAAGAAGAGAGGCAGTATTTCTTAATATGCGGAAACTCTGTAAAATTCAAATTTCAAAGTCTATAAATGACGCCCACACATTTGCATATTGTCCGAGCTGCTTCTGCACAATGACAGCTGAGTGGCTGCTGACCTGGTTTAGGTTTGTGAAGATTCCAAGCAAAAGTCACCAAGTGTCTCACAAGATCACCACTGAGTTTTCCTTTCAGTGTTGTTGTTCGGCTCCCACCCCTTCCTTTTTCGTTCCTTCTTCATATACAGACGGCGACAAAGCAAAGCCATAGACCAAACACTCAGCTTCCACTTCGCTACATAAAGGACAAGGAAATTTAGGCCAGTGACACGTGCAACCCCAAGCATGGGGCTTGTGCAACAGTGCGGATGCCACTTGAACGCAGCACTGAAAATACTGCAGAGAAGAAAGCTTCAGAGTGAGGTCGTGACTCAAGCGGGATCACACCAGCTTCCAGAGTCTGCCTGGGGCCAAGCGGAGAGCCGAGGGGGGGGCTCATTGCCAGCCGAGGAGGCTCACTGCCGGAGGAGAGCCGGGGAGGCTCACTGCCGGACAGCTGAGGACGCTCACTGCGCTTGAATACAAACACAGAGGCATCTACTCATGGAAAACAAAACATTGTCTGTGCCGTCAGGCGCAGTACACAGGCAAGAATGCTGCTGTCAGACCAACGGCGCGGCCATAACTGAGTACTGGGTACTCGTCCTGGTGTAAGTGCTCAGAGAATACTGTGTGGGGCTCATCACTCACAGCACACCAAGCACGTGAAAAATTAGAGACCTCTGCAGCCAAGAACTCTGTCCCAAAAGCTACTTAAATAGGCAGCTATACATAGGTACTCTAGGTTTCCTTTTGTTTTATTGAGAAGGCCCTTGGAATTGAGACGTGAGGCATGAGGAAGTCAGAACTCAGGAGTTACCTTCCCAGGAGTAAGGTCACAAAAGAGGATGCCAAGCCGGTGCAGATGGTGCAGCCCTGTGACCAAATCCACCCCAAACTCTCTCACAACTTCTTCTGGGAGGTTCTCGTCCTGAGCAATCACAGTTTCTAAAGAACCACCTAAGGGAAATGAGCTTAGATCAGCCACATCCAGCAGCCACCATGGCTCCCCAGCCAGCATGGTGTCGGCTCAGGCTCTTCTGTCCCTACCTGTGCACAGCTCCACCACCATCCAGAGGTGATTGCTGGTCTCGTACCATTCATGGAACGTCACAATGTTCTTGTGTTTGATTTCGTGGGTGAGACGGACCTACAAAACACACAGCGCTCACTCGGCATCTCACTGCAACTGGAAAGGCAGACCAACTGGGGTTTATCTATAGCCATCAGAAGTGTTGGTTCCCAAGGGCAGCCTCGGGGAAAGGCAGGGACCTTAAGGAACAGAACAAGCGTGCCAGCGCTAACTGCAAAGAGCTATTTATGGTAAATGGGTGAACGTAACATTAATATAGCCACTGGCTGAGGGAGGAACCACGGCGTTCTGAGATTCCGTGATGGCGCTAAGTCCCAATACATCCAGTGGAGGTTGAAAACATCATAACCTGAAGGCAAATTTAGTGTTTCCCTCACCCGCAGACCCAGCTCAGCCTCACCAGCCGGGCACACTCACTTTACAATAAACTACATCATAGCTCACACACACACAGGTGCTTTGTGGACGTGGCGGAATACGAAAAGAAACAAAGTCTAAAATGTGCCCTGGGATTCCCCTCCTATCCATGACTGCCGGCAGACAGAGCTGTGGATCTCACCTCTGCCTGGCCACACAGGGCAGACTACCCTAGACCCACCTGCCTCGGCCACCTGCGCTCCCCACCCATCTACACAGCCTGTCCCTCCTGTGCTGTTTATGACTCCCTGCCCATGGCTGCTGGGGGCTGACCTGACATCCCCTTCACCTGTGTTCATGGAAGAGCAGCCTTGGAAGGCCCAGGGCAACCTCATGCCTATCTGGAAAACATTTCCTCACCTCCTGCAGACAGCAGCAATATGTTACTAAAAGTCACTGGCCCAGCCGGGCGGTGATGGCGCACACCTCTAATCCCAGCACTCGGGAGGCAGAAGCAGGCGGATCTCTGTGAGTTCAAGGCCAGCCTGGTCTACAGAGCAAGTTCCAGGACAGCCAGGGCTACACAGAGAAGCCCTGTCGGGAAGGGGGGGCGGGGGGGAGGAGTGGGGGGAGTCACTGGCTGAGATTTTCCAAGAAACTTCCAAAGGGGTTTTATTCAAGATGCCAACCCTGAGCAGACCTCCTCCTCCTTCATTCCCAGCAAACTGCCAGAGCACATGAGGCTGAAGAGACTTCAGAAGGACTGGAGTGCAGAGCCAGGCAATGAGGGCAAGCTGACCGTGGCAGATACACGGGCTGGACCTCCCTTACATGGAAGAAAACCAACACTTGGTGCTGAGGGCTGTGGGAGTATACAGCAGGTGACAACTGATGCTTGACAAGTCGACCCACCAGATGTGTAACTCCCTGATGGGGAGCCCCACCTGGCGAGGCCGTGGGGTCACTGGCTGCGGAAACTTGTTTTCTGTCTGTAACTTTCTCGGGTGCCACCGTTATTATACCTCCCTGCAAGAACAGCTGTGGGTGCTTTCCATGGCCCTCTGATAGTGTGCTTTACATCTCTGGGCACTCAGCTGTGGATTTCTGCTTAAGCTGTATAATTCTAATGAACAGAAATATTGCCTGAATATTCTTCTTTACTGACACAGGAAGTAGCAGTATTCTCAGTCTCAAAGACAGCCTTTTACATATTTTGCAAAAATCTTAGACCAAGTCCAATATAAACTAGCTGCCCCTACAGAACAGATACAAAGATGAGGATGGAAACTTGAAATCACATGGCCTGAGGCAAAGTTATCGATAACCCTGAGAGACCAGCTCCCAAGATCCACTCAGGGCAATGAAAGGAATGCCTCAGAGTAGCGAGGGGTAGGGAACTTTCTTATCTGAGGGTAGTTAGGAAAAAATTTTGGTGTTGTTTATTGCTAAATCAAGGCCAGGCTGTTTACATCAAGACCTAGTCCTTGTGGTAGCCCCTTTCTGCAGATAACCTGACCGCTCAAGGTTCGGCCAATTGTTTCCTGGCCGTGTGGAGCTATGTGAGAGCTTGTGGCTGTGTTCCTGCTGAGCTACTCCTGGCCTGGCTCCAGAGAGTAGCACCTAGCGCTAATCCATCTTTTGTTTAACTGACACCTTTTGTTTGTCCCCTGTGAATCTTGTCTCGGAGTCTCCCAAGGATACAAAGGCCTATGCAAAACTTAGTTCAGGAAACCGACAAACCATGGTACCTGAGAAATCCAGGAATTTGCACTTGGCATTGTATCTTTGGGAGCTCCTTTTAGGTGGTTTTGAGCATTTGGAAATTAACTGGCTAAACTGAAATAGAGAGAAATAAAAATGCCTGGGGCAAAGGGAAAGGGGTCAGTCCCTAGAGTCCAGAGAGGCTGGATCCCCCTGTAGCCTAGAAGGCTAAATTCATTCTTAAGGTGCCTGTGAGTCTTCTTTCCAGGGATCCATGTAAACTCACACACCCGTGCTGCGACACTTCACCGCAAGAGTTGCTGCAGAATGTGTGTGTGTGTGTGTGTGTGTGTGTGTGTGTGTGTGTGTGTGTGTGTGTGTGCTGGGTGAGAGATGAAGAAGAAGCATGAGAGAAGTGTGAGAAAGTGAATGTGTGAAAGAATGAATGAATAAAATAAAATAAAATAGACTAAAATTTGTTCCTCACTACGCTCAGATAAGAAAGTTTCCTACCCCTCGCTACTCTGAGGCATTCCTTTCATTGCCCTGAGCGGGTCCTGGGAGCTGGTCTCTCAGGGTCATTGATAACTTTGCATCAGGCCATGTGATTTCAAGTTTCTATCCTAGCCTCAAATGCTCACCCAGACAACATTCTACACTCAGAGGAATGCAAGAGCAGTATCTACCTTCTCCTCACATCTTGAACACCCCAGCTCCAGGGTTTGTCTCCACTGAAGCCTCGCCTTGAAGGCCATTGGTCTGCCACCTCTCCACCCACAAGTCCTCAGCCTTTACCTCATCAGCTGCACAGTACTGCTGAGGTCTCTCTTCACCCTGCATCTCTGACACTCCAGGCCCCGGCTGTCACAGTTGCCAGCTCTAAATTGCTGTCTCCACCTCCACTAGGAAGGTACTTCATGCCTCAGTTGTATCAAGGTGCACAGTGAATCTCCTCCCAGCAAATCAGGTAACAGAAGCAGGGTGGAGCCTAGAATACCAGCTCCAAAGAACCCAGGGGTGGTAGTCATGGGCCTCAGGAGTGGAGAAGCCAGTCAAAGTGTGGCTACCCTCTCCATTCTCCTCCTGCTGGGTGCTGTCTTCTGCTCTTCCCTGCTGGGTCTCCATCCATCTCTTCCTATGCTCTTCATGTTGTAATGGAGGAACCCAGACCCCCCCGCCACCTTCCCTCCCCTGACCCAACATCGGTAAGTACAACGATGCTCAAGTTTGCATCTCTGTTCCAAATGTGCTTCTAACTGGACTAAAACACCCACAGTCTTCCTTACAACCCACTGTAGACAATGGCTCCTTGAAATCAAATCAACCCTGTCCTTCTTTTAGGCGTTCTGTCCCCTCTCATGACTGGCATCTGGCCAAACACCCAACAAAACCGTTGCTTCTCTTCCAATTCTTATGTCCTGTTAATGTCCAAAACATCAGCTCTGCTCCGCTCCACAAAGGGAGCCAGGCTCTCTGTTTACACAACACTAAAACCCACAAGACTAATCTGTACTGTGAGAAGGGAGTGTCTGCAGGCAGGGAAGAGAAAGGCCTGGAAGGCTGAAGGCAGGCTGCTAGAATAATACTTCCTGTGTTACCCGAGTGGACACAACTGAGCAAAACTAACCTACGTGGACAAAACTCAGAGCAGTGAGGTATGTGCCCACCATGGGCACAGAACCAGGAGCTGTGAGGGTAATCTGTGCTTTATTCAGACAGTCAGCAATATGGGAGGCCACAGCAGGCATTCCCAAGCCTTTTCTTGTCCTTCTGGTCAGGTGGTCTCATCTTCTGTCATCATCCCCCACCCCGTGTGTGTAGCGAAAGACAAACAGTACAGCCAGCAGGTCTGCATTCCTCCTCAGCCTCCATTTCGGACGGTGTCCAGGTTTATAGTTAACTCAGAACAACCTGCTGGCAGCATGAGCAGATTCCTTCCCACTGAACGAAGTGTAAATGTGCTCCTATAGTGTGGAATACACACTGGGCCAGCAAAATGGCTCAGTGGGCAAAGGTGCTTACCACCAAGCCTGATGACAGGAGTTCGATCCGGGACCCACAACACAAAAGCTGTTTCTCACCTCTGCAGGAATGTTGCATGTGCACGGAGGCTGCATGCTGGAGCATGTGCATGGAGGTCAGAGGACAACTTTAGGAGCTGGGCACTTCCTTCCACCATGTTGGTCCCAGGGATGGAGCTCGGGTTCATCAAGCTTGGTGGCAGGAGCTTCTCCACTAACCATCTCGCCAACCCTCACACATCAACTCCTAACCTAAATGTCTATCATAGATCCCTTTGCACCAGAACCAAAAGAGCTGACAACTACCTGGACAAGCTCATTACTCATTATCAAGACTGACAGCACCAGAGAGAGAGACGGGGCCCTCATCCCAGGGTTAAAACATTGAATTTGGACACAGCATACCTAATAGCTTCTGTTACCTACCTACCTATCTATCTATCTATCTATCTATCTATCTATCTACCTACCTACCTACTTATCTATCTACTTGAGTGCTAGGGACAGAATCTAGGGTCTTGCACATGGTAGAGAAGCATTCTACACCATCCCTTGTTTCTTTGAGACTGTATCCCAGGCTGGCTTTGAACTCTGTCCTCCTGTCTGCCTCCAGACTATTGAGATTGCATGCTCGCATCACCTGGCATTCTGTGGCCGCCAGGTAGGTGGAGACACCCAGGACTTACCCAGTTGGTCATTTCAGGCCGTTTGCACTTTTCAGTACAAAGAATGGCCACGAAATTGATGGTGCCCTTCCGACGCCCCTTATACACGACGGTCTTGCTTCCTCTGCCAATCTCCTCATACAGGATAAAGTTTTCCATATCTGGGTCGATTTTCTCATACGTGGAAAAACAGCATCCCTAGCTCCTGGAAGGTGAACAGAAATGACGGTGACAAATGCAAGCTAGCTGCACCAGAGTTGGCCTAGGAACGTGGAAACATGGTCACCAATTCGATGCCACCACTAGTGCTGGAGGAGAGTGGCTGTCATTTGGGTTGTTTGTTTGCTTGTTTTGTTTCTAAAAAAAGAAAAAGAACTGAGATGTATTTGTTCTTATTTTATGTGTGTGGGTGTCTGCCTGCATTATGTCTGTGCACCTCATGCATGCCTGGTGCCAGCGAGGTCCATGGAGGGCAGCAGATCCCCTGCGACTGGAGTTACAGATGGTTGTGAGCCACTGT